GCTTAGACTGGACAGGGCTTTAGACGTCAGAGTATTGGATCTGATCCTGGGGCAATAAGGAGTTTCTGGAATTTATTGAGCTAGGAGTGGGGAGAGAATGTATATCTGACCTGGTTAGACCTACATTTTAGCAATATCAAGGGCAAGAAAACATCATATTTTATTTCAATTGTCAAGAGCATTTTTCAAGGAGAATGTCTAAACCATTAGGGTTCTGCTGAGCCCTCAACATCATTTCGCCTGAATAGATCTGAGTGTGGCCCACCATACATCCACACCACTGTATGTATCCAATGTGATTGCTGTTGGTTAACCTTCAAGTGGAGTCTAGGAAAGGACCAAGATCCAAGAGTAGAACCCAAAGGTTCTCGAGTAGTAGAGCCCACAGTCGCACAGTGGGTAAGCGCCCACGCCAGCACCAGGACCCTTTCCAATACAACCCTGGACATTCCCACTGAAACTGATATTGCTATCATCATGTGACTATATACAAGGACCTGAGAAGTCATTTCACCCAGAACCCTAACTTGAACTGAGGCCTCCAGGGGTTAAGTGAATTGCCCAAGGTCTCACAGTGACAGACACAGGATTTGAATCTGGGTTCTTTATATATGTGATTGAATTTGGACTTCATAAAAAGCACGTGAGGCAGGAAGTGCAGGCCATCTTGTCTCCATCTTACAAAGAAGGAAACAGAGGCTTATGGAAGGCTTAACCACAATCTCACAGTTGGTATTTGATAGAGCTGGGACTTGACTAACCAGGTGGAGCCATAATGCTCTGAGCATAGGACTTGAAGGGGGAGCCAGGACTCTCTGCGCTTTGGATAAGCCTGTCCTATGCATTATCCCAAGTCGTTAAGAAACCTGTGAAATAGGTGTGGGCCAAGCAACATGGGGGAGGTCTAGTGCCATCTGGTGGACAGCCTGTGGAATGCCTCCTCCACCATTTTTGTTCACAGGAGACTCCATCTGGCTTTTGGAATCCAAAGAACACTTAGTCTCTTCTCAATCTACCCCAGGCCAGATTCTCCCCCTTTATGACTTGCGGCTGAAAAATTTAACCCCTGATTAGGTGATCGGCTTCCTCCCTTAAGTGAGGCTGGCTCTGGGTCAGCCTTCCCAGACAGAGCTTGAGTGCTTGTCACCCAGTCTTCAAGTGTCAAGGGACGCTTCTCTTCTCCCCACCCCCAGGGAAGCCCCAAGGGGGGCAGGGGCACTGGAGATGCTGCAACAGCAGCAACAGCAACAGCAACAATGGTGTGCTCACAACATTCGTTTTTTATGAGATTTTAAGTTCCAAATCTTTCTCTCTTCCTCCCTTCCCTCTCCCCTCCCCCAGACAGCAGGCAATCTGTTGTAAGTTATACCTGGCAAAGCACTTTCATCTGAGTCTCACAAAAGATTGAGAAGTACAGACAACAACCTTGCAGGGGTTAACCCCAGTTTAAATATGGGGAAACTGAAGCATAGAGAGGGGAGGTCATTTCATCCATGGTCACACAGCTCATGTCTCTATCACACTTTACTGTTTACAAAACCCTTTGCTCAAACACCCCTCTGAGGTCTGAGGCATAACATTGTCCTGATTTTACCGGCCAGGAAAATGAGGCACAGGTAGGCCTGAAAGCCAGGGCTTTTGCTCTTACCATGACCTGCCTTTCTAGCAGTCTGCAGGGACACTGCTGGGGAGAGAACATTCTGGATTCTGGCACTGGGATTCAATTCTGGCCCTGAGACAAAGCCCCTCACCAGCCTAATTTTCCGGGCTCAATGCTTATTACTCTTACTCAGTGTAGTCTAAGTTCTAGCCAGCCTAGGCTACTAACTGTTCCTGAACTTGGCACTCAGTCTCCCATCTGAGCCCTTGCATGGGCTGAGACACCTGCTTGGAATGCCCTCCCTTCTGATCTCTTAGAATCCCAGGCTCCTTCCTGCTCAGCTCAGGCACTGCCTGCCATAGGAAGCTTTTCCTGATGCTACCCTTGCCTCCTCCCCCTCCTCCTCCCCCTCCCCCTCCCCTTCCCTCTCCTCCACTCATCAAGGAGCTGCTTCAGGGAGCTTGTGCTGTGCCCTCCCAGCAGAATGCAAGCTCTCTGAGGGCAGGCAGTGTTTTTGCCTCCTGATCCCCAGCATGGAGCGTGAGCACAGGGACTTGCTTTTGGGTCAGGACGTGGTGTAGGGAACTGTGGACCATCGCCTTTGCCAATACGAATTCTTAGAGCTGGAAAAGTCTTTTGTCTTTCTATACCCAGTACCGAGGACAGTGCCTGGCCCTGACTAAGCCTTGGTAAATAACTGCTGGCTTATTTAGGGAGAAGTGAAATGATTTGCTCAGATAAGTTGCACCTGAACCCAGGTCTTTCTGGCATAGAGGATGTCCTTAACACACGTATGTTGGGGTGGAGGAAACATTGAAACCATGGAAGAGGAAAGCCTGACATTTTTTGTAGAGAAGGAAACACTTTGAGCAAAGTAAGTGTATGCACTACTTGTTCTGAGGGGCTTTTGGTGACCTCCTGTCTATGGAACAAAACCTGCCTCCCTGGGCTTCAGAAACACTGGGCACTGACCAAAAACTTGGTTGTGTGCAGTGTTGGGAGGCCTGGACAGGGCATGAGTGTGAAAGGGGAGACACAGGCTTGGGGACAGTTCTCTCTGCAGTCAGTGAGTCCTCTGGCTTTGGGACTTCCTTTGGAGGTGAGGCCCAGGTTTAGAGTTCCCTCCCATCTCATCTGGCCTGTCCTGACTCCTGAGAACTGGGTAGAGTCCTCTGGCCTCTTGAGTGTCTGTAGCCCCTCTGAATCCTCCCTGCATGATGGGGACAGTGGGGCATCTGGCCCTGTGCCCTGGCCTGGCCTGGGCAACCAGGCTGACCTGGTGGTCAGTGCAGGGTCACATATGCCCATGGAAAGTACAGCCCATCCCCATTTCTAAAATATATAGACAATTAAGTCAAATTTATAAGAATACAAGTCATTCCCCAATTGATAAATGGTCAAAGGATATGAGTAGGCAGTTTTCAGATGAAGAAATTAAAGCCATCTATAGTCACATGAAAAAAAGCTCTAAATCCCTATTGATTAGAGAAATGCAAATCAAAACAACTCTGAGGTACCACATCACACCTATCAGATTGGCCAACATGACAAAACAGGAAAATAATAAATGTTGGAGAAGATGTGGGAAAACTGGAACACTAATGCATTGTTAGTGGAGTTGTGAACTGATCCATCCATTCTGGAGAGCAATTTGGAACTATGCCCAAAGGGCTATAAAAATGTGCATACCCTTTGACCCAGCAATAGCACTTCTAGGTCTGTATCACAAAGAGATAATAAAAGTGGGAAAAGGACCCACATGTACAAAAACATTTATAGCAGCGATTTCTGTGGTGGCAAAGAATTGGAAATTGAGGGGAAACCCATCAATTGGGGAATGGCTGAACAAACTGTGGTATATGAATGTAATGGAATACCATTGTGTGGTAAGAAATGATGAACAGGCAGACTTCAGAAAAACCTGGAAAGACTTGTATGGTTTGATGCTGAGTGAAGTGAGCAGAACCAAGAGGACTTGGTACACAACAACAGCCATGTTGTACGATGACTAACATTGATAGACTCAGCCCTTCTCAGCAATGCAAGAATCTAAGACATCTCCAGAGGCTTCGGGATGGAAAATGCTGTCCACATCCAGAACTATGGAGTTTGAACGCAGATCGAAGCAGACTATTTGCTCTTTTTTTTCTTCCGTTGTATTTTGTTTCCTCTTTCTGGTGGTTCCTCCCATTGCTTCTAATTCTTACTTACAACATCACTAATGTGAAAATATGTTTAATAGGAATGTCAATGTATAGTCTGTATGAGATTGTGCACCATCTTGGGGAGGGTGGTGGGGAGGAAGGGGGAGAAAAATTTAAAACTCAAAAGCTTATAGGAGTAATTGTTGATAAATCAAAATAAATTAATAGTAATAATAAAAAAAAAAGAAAGTGACAGAGGCGGAACAAAAAAAGTATGGCTCGTTTGTACTCAATCTTCTCTTTGCAAGGGTGGTTGGCTACTCCCTCTGCTGGGCAGAGAGTGTCATTGCAGGCTCAGCCGACATCCTCCAGCTCTGCCTCAGACACCCATCCCTCCTTCCACAAATGTCCATGCACAGCAAAGAGCAATTTGAAGCCTGAAGGGAGCCAGACTCCTGATTTTATAGATGGGTAAACGGAGGCCCAGAGAAGAGAGCCTGGTTGCCTAAGGTCACTGAGGAAGCAAGGTCTCTGACCTCAGGTCCACCAGCTACACCAGCTTGTCCAGAGCTTTCCCCTTTACAAAAACCTCACTCTCTGGGCACAAGAAGCCTATGAGAACAGCAGGAGCAGGGAGACTGAGGCCCAGAGAGGTGACAGGTCGAAAGGCTAGCATGAGGCAGAGCTGGGAAGAGAAGCTTGACTCTCAAATCTGTCCCCAGGCTCTAACCCCTTCCATGACGCTCTCTGCCCTTCTCTCCCCGTCCAAGATAAGCCAAGCCTCTCCTCTGGTGTGGCCCCAGAGCTCCACGAGGGTCCACAGTAAGTCCTTGGGGCAGTCTACTAGTCGATGACCATCAGTGACCTTCACTAAGGGTCTTAGGTCTGCCACGGCATTGCATCCACCCCCTGCCCCAGGGCCCTGTCAGGCTTTACAGGTATCACCCTCGCTTACAGATGGGGAAACTGAGGAACAAAGAAACACGACCAGCCCACTATCACATGACGGGTCTTCCTGACTCCAGGGCCAGCATCTTGACTGTTCTGCCACCCTGCCTCTGTCTAAGCAAGACACACACACTGAGTATTCCCTTGCTGGCAAACACAGTCACAACCATGTGCCCAGCCCCTTTGCTCACAGTTCCTGCCTAGCTTCATCCCCCAGGGGCCCAACAGAGCCAACCTTCTCCCGGATTTTGCTCACTCCTCACCAGACATAGCACAAGGTCCAAGCCAGCAGGCAGCTGGTCACTCACCCAAACTTGGTGTTCAGCGTCCCGCCAAGCATGGAGCCCAGGATGACTCCTATTCCAAAGCACAGGCCCAACTTCCCCAGGGCTGCAGGGCGATCTGCTGGGGACGTCATGTCTGTGATGACCATCTGGGCCCCTGGGAGAAAGGGAGACCAAGGTGAGGCCCACGTCAAGGCCAGGACCCCAGGGGTGTCTGGGCTGTCTCTTCCCCAGGGCCAGAGCCATCCTTCTCCTGCCTGTAACCCCCCACCCTCCTGGTCCCCAAGCCCTGGACATTCTGCAGCCCCTGAAACTTCTTTCAAACCCTCCCACTCCTTTCCTTTCCCATGACCACTACCCAAGGTCATTCTTTCCTGGCTCTGGGGATGATGCTGGGGATAACCTTGGGCAAGTCACGTATCTTTCCTGGGCCTCAGTTTTCTTATCTGTAAAGTGGGGGGGGTAGGGCTTTATGGCCTCCAAAGTCCCTTCCAGCTTCAATGGTGTGTGTGCCCTTTGATTAGACCTTGCCTTTCTGCCAGCCTCTCTGCCCTGTCCTGCCACCCCTCCCCCAACAAGTCATCACATTCATCTTTCGCATGCCCATCTCTGACTCTGCTGTTCCCCCAAATGTCTCCAGGGGCTCTCCTCTTGACTAAGAGATACAGTTCAGATTTGGTCTGGCATTCAAGGCCTTCCTCTGACCTGCTTCTCCAGTCTTATTGCCTACTCCTTTCTCCGCCCTAGGATCATAGGCTCAAGAGCTATGGTACCCTGGAAGGAGGCCTGGCTCTAGAGTCAGAGGAGGCAGGGTGGGCCAGAGGTTAAAGCAACTGGGAATCAGGAAAGGTTCAAATCCCAACTCAGACACTGGTGAGCTGTGGCATCCCGGCAAGGCCCTTCATTTTTGGGACCCTCAGTTTCCTCACGGCAAATTTAGAAATGTGGCCTGGAGTGTCTACATGCCCTTCCCTCTCTAAATCTGTACTTCTGTGGGGCATCTAGGTGGCACAGTGGATAGAGCACTGGCCCTGGATTCAGGAGGACCTGAGTTCAAATCCAGCCTCAGACACATAACACTAGCTGTGTGACCTTGGGCAAGTCACTTAACCCCATTGCCTAGCCAAAAAAAAAAAATCTGTGCTTCTGTGTGGGACTTTGCCCCTCACTCACTGTGTGTGACCCCTTTCTGGGCCCCAGCTTCCTCCTGAGATACCGTGTAAAGGAAGATGCTATAGTTATTAGTGTGTTAGAAAAAGCCAACATATTATGTTACTACTATCTCTTAAAACAGCCATGAGGGCTGAAACCAGCATGAAATCAGGGGCCTTGTACTCATGTAGAATATTGATTTTGGAACCTTTTTTACACAGGTTGAAAAATTTCAGGATATTTTTCTCTGATTTTTGCCAGAATCAGTGTGCATGTGTGTGTACGCATGCGTGTGTGCGTTGTGTGTGTGTGTGTGAATATAAAAAGCTGACTATTAATTGGATAAATGCTTAACTGGAATTGCCTTTGGAGTCAGCTAAATTATATTTACTTTTTAAAAAATCATACTTGGATTTTTATTGCTTTCAGTTCTGAATCATTTAAGCTCCTTTTATAAGAGTAAATATACTAAATGTTTCTTTTTTAATTCATATAATTTCATACATGTTCTAAATTCTTTCTTATCACTTATGCTTTATTTTTGTTTTTTTTTTTTTTGGCTAGGCAATGAGGTTAAGTGACTTGCCCAGAGAGTCACACAGCTAGTAAGTGTTATGTGTCTGAGGCCAGATTTGAACTCAGGTCCTCCTGAATCCAGGGCCGGTGCTCTTTCCACTGCACCACCTTGCTGCCCCTCACTTACGCTTTGGATAGCAGTGTCTAATGCTTTAGAAATGTTTACAGCTAGAGTTGACCTTATGTTCCCCATCCAAATAATTGATACACTACGTCCTCTAATGGTTGCTTTGAAATGAGGTTCATTTATACTTTTGGTGTATTCAAACCCAGTTTTGGCATGATTAAACTGTGGTATGTGTTAAAATTCCATGACTTTCATCAAGACGCTTTATATTGCCACTATATAGGGACAGGAAAGTTGATATACCATCAGCTCACTTAGAACAAGCCTAGCCACTTCTGAGAGCCAAGATGGTGGAGTAAGAAGTAAGTCACTCTCACTCTCCCCTATTAACCTTTGAAAGCCCAGAAAATATTGTCCCAGTAAAAACCCTGGAACAGCTGAGCCAGCAGAAAAGTGCAGCAGTCCTGTATCTCAGGAAGCTTGGGGGATTAATGGGAAAGGCCTCTCTTGCTCTGGAGGAAGAGGAGCAGTACAGGATGGGAGGCATCCCAGCAAGCCACACCTCACCATCCCAGGGGGAGATCCTGAGCCCCAGGGTAGTGGAGCAGGTAAGTGCCAACACCAGGATCCCTCCGAGTACCTTGGTACAGGCAGGGAACTGGTAGACATCAGCTGGGAAAACCACCACTTCAATGGCCTTCTCCAGCAGCCTAACCTCCTGGTGCCTCAGCACAATTCCAGGAAGCACAACTCCAGGAGGCAAAGCTCCAGACTGACAGACATCCTCCGGCAGCTGAATATTTGAGTGCAAGACCTGAGGGAACAGGCTTGTCCCAGGGGCCAGACTCCCCACCCCCACCCTGAGAGCTCCAGGTTTGCTGACTCCAGCCTAGCACCAGGTAAGCTGCCAGGATCCTACAGCCTCCAACTGCCAGCATCTGAGGCCCCAGCACACAAAGCCAGTGACCAGGTTATGGGCTCTCAGCACAAGAAGTTTGGGTCAGTACCCTCTGCGCTCTAGCAGGAGAGCTCAACTTTTTTTTTTTTTTTGGAGTCAGGAAATGGGCAAACACCATGAGCGAAAAGCAGAAATGGACAATGAGCATAGATTCGTATTATGGGGACAGGGAAGAGCAAGACACAAATTCAGAAGAGAACCACATCGTCAATATACCCACATCCTAAACCTCAGAGGGGAATATGAGCTGGTCTCCAGCCCACAAAGCCTCCTTGGAGGAGCTCGAGAAGGATTTTAAAAGACAGATAAGAGAGGTAGAAGAAAAATTGGTAAAAGAAATGACAGGTATGCAAGAGCAAGTCAATAGCTTGGGAAAGGAAGAACAAAAATTAACTGTAGAAAACAAGTCCTTAAAAATACAGCTGGCCAAATGGGGGGGGGGGGAGTACACTGAAGAAAGCAACTCTTTACAAAGTAGAATTGGCCAAATGGAAAGGGAGGCACAAAAACTCATTAAAGAGAAGAACTCCTTAAAAAGTAAAATGGGCCAAAAGGAAAAATCTAAAAGAAGAAAACCATTCATTAAAAATTAGAATTGGGCAAGTGGAAGCTAATGACTCTGTGAGAAATCAAGAATCAGACAAACAGAAACAAAAGAATGAAAAAATAGAAGAAAACATAAAATACTTTATTGGTAAAACAACTGACTTGGAAAATAGATCCAGGAGAGATAATTTTAAAATTATTCATTTACCCGAAAACCGTGATGAAACAATGAACCTGGACAGCATCTTTCAGAAAATCATAAAGCAAAACTGCCCTGAGGTCCTAGAACCAGAGGGTAAAATAGTCATCGAAAGAATCCACTGATCACCTCCTGAAAGGGATCCCAAATCAAAAATACCAAGGTTACCAGGTCAAAGAGAAAATACTGTAAGCAGCCAGAAAGAAACAATTTAAATATCATGGAACCACAGTCAGGATTACACAGGACCTTGCAGCTTCCACATTAAAAGATCTTAAGAGAGTGGAATATGATATTCTGTAAGGCAAAGGAGCTTGGATTACAACCAAGTATCAACTACCCGGTGAAATTGAGCATAAACTTTCAGGGGAGGAGGTGGACATTCAACAAAATAGGAGACTTTCAAACATTCTTGATGAAAAGACCAGAGCTCAACAGAAAATGTGATCTTCAAACACAAGACTCAAGAGAGGCATAAAAAGGTAAATGGGAAAGAAAAAAAAACATGTTATTAATAAAAACTGTTTTACATCCCTGCAAGGGAAGATGACACTTATAACTCTTGAGAACTGTATTGTTATCACAACATTTAAAAGGGGTATACATAGAGGGCATGAGTATAAGTTGACTTTGGTTTGATGATAAAAAAATTAATTAAGTGGTGAAAAGGAATTGTTCTGGGAGAAGAGGAAAGGACGAGGCAGACAAGGGTAAATTACATCACATGAAAAGACACAAAAGCCTATTACAGTAGAAAGAAAGAAGGGAGGGAGATGAGCATTGTTTGAACCTTACTCTCATCAGATTTGGTTCAAAGAGGGAATAGCACAGACAGGTATAGAAATCTAATTTACCCGATGGGAAGTAGGAGGGGGAAGGGAAAAGAAAAGAAGGGAGGGAAGAAGTAAGGGTAAAGGGGAAGAAAAAAGAGGGGACTGATAGAAGGGAGGGAAGACTAAGGGACTCGATGGTTAAAAGCAAAACTCTAGTGAGGAAGGGAAGGGAGAAAGGAGAGAGAAAAGCAAAAACGGGGGGAAATAGGTTGGAGAGAAAGACACAGATAGTAATCATAACTCTGAATGTGAATGGGATGAACTCTCCCATAAAATGGAATCAAATAGCTGAGTGGATTAAGAACCATAATCTTACAATATGTTGTTTACAAGAAACATATTTGAAGCAGAGGAATACATACAGGGTAAAGGCAAAAGGCTGGAGCAGAATATATTATGCTTCAGCTGAAGTAAAAAAAAAAAAGGCAGGGGTAGCAATCCTGATCTCAGACAAAGCAAAAGCAAAAACATATCTAATTAAAAGAGATAAGGAAGGAAATTACATCCTGTACATCCTGCTAAAAGGTACCATAGAAAATGAAGTAATATCATTACTAAACATATATGCACCAAGTGGTATAGCATCCAAATTCTTAGAGCAGAAGTTAAATGGAGTTATAGGATGAAATAGATAACAAAACTATACTAGTTGGGGATCTCAACCATTCCCCTTTCAGAACTAGATACACATAACAACAAAATAAACAAGAAAGAAGTTAAAGAGATGAATATAATTTTAGAAAAGTTAAATATGGTAGACATCTGGAGAAAATTGAATGGGGATAGAAAGGAATATACCATTTTCTCAGTGGTACATAGCACCTAC